GCAAGCGACGAATAAGTTGTAATTTCAGTTGCTTAATCTAAAAAAATTAAAAACTACAAAAAGTCGGTGGCGTTCTTTTTTTCTCAATATTGTTGGCTGTGGTGCCCACTGAGACGCCACTGGTCCTAATAAGTTCAATCTAGTTTGGGCTAAATAAGCGCCTCATTACTTCAAATAACTGTAGCAAATTTATACTAGCTCGGTGTGAGGATATTTATGATATTTTATAAATACCGTTTTTCTTAAACTTCAACGCCCTGTATCTCAGAAACGAAGCAACTCCGGACATATATTTTCATAGAAACTTTTTTTTCTTAAAACGACCTAACGAATCAGCCTCTGAAGTTTCGTACCGTAGTTAGGAACTACCCTGTATATAATGAGCTTCGAAATACATTGTTGCTCGATGAATACTACTAGATTAGTATCTTTTATCAGTGTGCCTTTTATATTTCGGGATTAGATTTATTATTGTTTTTCAAAATATTCCCCATGACGATCTATTCACTTTTGCATGCGTTTGAACCAATTGTCGAAGCACTTTTGCAACGTGCATTCTGAATGCCGCAACCGCTTCTTCAGGTGTCGAAAAACGTTGACCTCTTAGTTTGTTTCTTACAAGCGGGAATAAAAAGAAGGTATTCGATGCCAAGTCAGGATTATATGGCGGATGACTCATCAAATCGATGTTTTGGGTGCTCAAAAATGCAGTTGTTTGAGCTCGCATTGTCGTGGTGAAGAGTGATCCGTCTTCGGTGGTTGGTTTTCCTGATTTCTTTAAAGACAACTGGCAAACAAATGGTTGTGTACCACTCAGAATTGACTGCTCTGCGTTGTTATAGTGGTACGATTGCGACATGTCCAGTCATTCCGAAAAAACAGGCGATCATTTGCTTGAAAGTGCTTCGTGCGCGAACAACTTTTGTTGGTTTTGGCTCATCTTGAAACACCCATACAGTCGACTGCTGTTTACTTACGGGCTCATACGCGTAAATCCTGTCACGATGTCATAGACGTGTTTCGAAGCACCGCGATTGTATTTTTTGAGCATTTCCTTCGACTAATCGACGCGAGCCTTTTTTTGAGTGATTGACAAATTGTGTGGGATCCAACACGAACAAATTTTTTTGACAGTCAAATGTTTATGCAATATTGAATGTATGTTAGTCCCACTAATTCCTAAGGTTGTCTCAATCTCATGATAGGTCACATGACGATCTTGCAATATCAGTTCGCACACAGCATCAATGGTTTTCGGAACAAAAACTGATTTTGGACGACGTTCACGAAATTCGTCTTTGAGTGAACTACGACGATGATTGAATTCACCATACCATCGATAAACACTGGTCCTTTATGGACCTTCATCACCAAAAACTAAATTAAGTTCATCCATGCACTGTTGCTGAGTTAATCCATGTCGAAAGCTGCAAAAATAAACGCATGAAAATGTTCACGAATCAATTCCATTTTTGGGCCCAGATGAATCTTTTAAGTTATTGTAAACAACACAAATAGCGCGCGTATGTGAAAAAGTTCAGAGTACGTATAAGCTCAAACATGTCCAACTTTACGATAGAGCTGTCAGTTGCCAGATTGCAACACTAGGGTTGCCAAATCCCAAAACATACCCTATAGTAGACTTCGACATAGACTAGGGCCGCGAAAACCGATAAAAAATGTTGCAAATCCAGTCATGACAATCTGGATAATCTTACACAACATCGAATCATTACTTAGAATTATTTCTTAGTCGAATTCTATCTATGTCAATCTCTCCTAATATTGAATTATTATTCACCACACGAAAACACAAACAAATGTTTTTGTCATTACTGTGACAAAAACGACTCTAAGGATTCGTTTAATTGGGCGCTGTCCCCATTGAAATTTTAGCAGGAATATTCTGATCGTTTTACGCGTAAAAGCTACAACTTTGACCTGCTGTAGCTCAAAACCGATTCATGTTTGAGTTTCGCACTCATGAAAATTTTTGTGCTGCTGATCAAAAACTAACTTTTCCTCGAGTATCCAGGTATGGTAGACGTGGTCGTTTTATACCACCAAAATGTTATTCCAAAAAGGCCTTTTGAGAGCATCTGTGATTTTCTGTTCACGTATCCATTCTTGTCATATAATTTCATTTATTTTTTTGAATTTATCTAATATTCTATAGTTTTAAACCCACCTACGCCAATGGGAGGGACGATAGTAGGGGACCGTCTCCCTATCCCACTCAATTCAATATAATGTCTATACGTTCTGACAAAGGAACTTGTCGATTAGGCACTCGAATTACTCCGAACCAAAGAAATAGGAGAAGAGGACTGGAGGGATGATGAATGAATACATTATCTCGTAACTGAGTTACAGTATGCTCTGGATTGAAATAGTTTATTCGCGTACTGATTCAATGAAATATCGTACCACGACACATTATTATTGACCATCGTTTGGAGATGTACGGTTATGAAAGATATTACTTGTTCAATCAAAGAGCTTATTTAAATCAACCCACTCGATAGGTACAAAACTAAGGGTACAGTTGTATGATAGTTGTATTTATAAAGCTAGTTTGAATTATAGAGATTGGAAGTACTTACAATAATTACACAAGGGACCAAATTCAATTGTTTCTTTGTTGTGTGGAATTGAATGGATGTTGATTACTATAATTTAAGGTCGCTGATTTGAAATCTCCTCTCCTTATTTTTCAAAAGTTCTAGTTTTTAAGGAACAGCTATCTATTGACCATACTTCTGTACTAGATACACTCAACTTTTATAATACTGAGTGATTCTTTCACAAGTTGATTTTTTGTTACAGTGTCATCGAGAAATATGTGTAAAATTTTTACCCCAACGTGTTATCTATTACTCGACCAATCCTGTACTCTGGCGATGCACCAGTGCCGCAAACATCTTCAACTATACAAAATGATCACAACTTAGATGAAAAAATCTCTTTTTCAAGTGATGAAAGTGGAACAATTGATTTTAATCCACATATTTCTCCTGAGTCGTTCAACCAGGAAGAGCCTTTCTACGAAAGCATCGGAGATTCTAGCTCCTTTATTCAAACAAAACAAAAAGACTTGCCTTTCAGGCAAATTTTATGAAACCGTTCCCCACACTAGATATCCAAACTATAGAGGAGCGGTATCAGGGTCACTGGAATGCCTACATAATGGCGGACTACTGTATGGACATTAAAAATAGCCCTTGTGAAACACGTAGGCAAGCAAATCCCATAAAAGAAAGGTGTTGATACTTGTTTCTCCAATAATTGTTATTGATTAAAATGGTTTTTTCTTGAAATTCACGTTTTTCTTATATCTTAAAAAGTAAAGCTGGTACAAAAAATTTTACTTGAGATCTGAAATCAGCATACCGAAAATGGATATTAGTCATAATATTTCATGCAACAAAAACTCTGTTCCTTTTTGTTACCATCATTGTTGAATCTCTAGTAACAATTGATTAAGTTATTCAAAACAAATACATTTTCTTTAAGATTAAGGGCCACCTGGAAGAGAATCTGTTTTGGAAATGTTACCACTCGCGAGCCAAGGGGCACACAGGACAATATGGGTGGCAGCACCGGGACACACGAGTATGACGCCTTCACATTAGGTCGCGCGACAGCCGCGCGGCTCCTTTTAGTATAGAAGTCGCGCAGCAGCCGCGCGACCCAATGTAAAGGCATTCTAAAAGCGTTTGCGTCGTGGACAAATACCCTTTATTACTTTTGTGTGAAGAAGTTTATTGAATATCAATTTATAATAAAACATGAATGTATTGATATAAAAGATGTACACTATTGATTAAATGGAGTGTTATACATAATGTTGATAATTAAAAACGGATAATGACACTCTGGATTATTCACGTTTCTTTCCTTTTTTTCCTGTTGTAATTTAATTTTTCAATAATGATGAATATGGAAACTAGGTTGCATATTTTTTCCATTTTCATAATAATGATGATGGTTGGTAAATTTTTTAATTTCAAATATTTCTTGAAGTTTGATGTGTGAAAAATAGCAAAATAGCGAGTGTTGTCTACTTCTGGTGTGACCTGACCTATGAAGTCATGATACTTGAAAATTTATTTGGGGAATTACAAAAATATAAATTGCACTGTTAAGTTTCTCGGAAAGATGTCTGCAGATATCTGTGGATTTTACGGTGTGTTTTCAGAACTCCACCCCATGCAATGATTCCTTAAAGCAGATGACAAGTCACCAAAATTGTATAAAGAATAATTTGGTCTTTTTGTTGGAGAAAGTTTCTAGTACGGTAAAAATGATATACCTATTGTTAATATAAATTTTTCGAAACTTATTTAACAAGAGCATCCCATTTGAGGGGGCTATCGATGTAACGTTTGTTGCAACACGGTAATTTGGTGATCTGATTTTGTGTGAACTGTATGGCATAAAATACATTTTCTTTAAATTCAAGAAAAGTAATTTACTTCTTAATCACCCAACTGCTATTTTACTTTCAAATTCTCAGTAGATTACCTTAGTATCAGTAAGAGTTCTATTCAAAAGAAATGAGTTATTAAGTTCCAGAATGAAGACTAAGGGACCTAAGATCGATTCTTACAGTAAGAACTCCGTAGTTCATAGCGCTGGGATCACTGAATATTTCGTTAATGCTCACACATTGTGTACGTCTTCCTAAATTGGTTCGAAAAGAAGATATTTAAGGGCCTCGTAAATTAGAAAAAGAATAGACTGAGTAGCTTTGAGTTACCTAAAAATGAGGGAAATTAATATATATGGAATAATATATAAAAATCATCGGATCCAAATGGGAACCCTCACGAAAGATAGAGGTTCCAAGGTTGTTTCAAAACGTGCAAGCGATTTATTTCTCAAAAAAATGTTTACTAATTTGTACAAAATGTTTTGTTCAAAAATATCGAGTTGTATTTTCATTTTAAAAAATGTACACATCCGAACAAAAACAAACCAATAAAAAAACATGCACTTACCACTCCCCAGTGTCCTTCTAACGTAGTCGCCGTGCCTGCGGGTTCCTCCTTGGTCGGCCTTAATCCAGCGGCTACCGGGATAATTTTCGCCTTCGCCGGCGACAAGCGGCTGCCGGGCCGCGCGTTAAAAGGAAAATACGGGCTGTCGGCCGTAAACGGTTCGGCCGTCGCCTGGGTCGGACTCGCGCCAGGGCCGCTGTATACCGGACCGGCCGGACTTAGTGCGTAGGCCTGAAACAGTTCCAAATTTCAGCTATACATGAAGCTGAATATCTAAAATAGCATAACTGAGCACATGTTCTGAGCGATATTAGGGTTCGTGCCTAGCAAGGCTTGACAAACTAATTGGCCAGAGGTTCCACCAGGCTAACGCCTGAGTACATAAGTTATAGAATCTATGAATTTCGCAGTTTATTTGGCAAAACTAACTATCAATGGAGACAAAATGAATGCCAAAAATTCTTATGAGAGTTCTTTTGTTTTGCAAAATTTGTTTCCTAAATTACGCCAAGGTGATCCATTTTTATAGACTAAACTATCTTGTGCCAAAATAATACCGACATCTTTTAATTATCAACTTGTTTCAGAAGTTTTGTCTGTTTTTGTGAGTTTACTGTAAACTGTAATCTCTCAGTGAATACTTATTCAATTTAACTGAAATAAGCGCCATTTGAATCGGTGCACTTTTGACAATATAACGTCGTTTAATTCCGTCAGCCCAAAAACGTGTGGTCGGGATTCGATGAATGCCTTTACTGTCTGGTCCTGATTGACAAAGGTTCTAGCATTGAGAAAGTTATCGGAGTGTTTGAAAATATGGTACTCGATTGGCGAGAGGTCTGGAGAGTATTGTGGGTGAGGCAGGTGAAGGTGAGGCAGGTGAAGGTGAGGCAGGTGAAGCAGGATCGGACCTCTTCCAATTTTTGGTATATTTCGTCGATTTCCTCACTTTAAGACTCTGCTGTGATGGCTTGGCCGGTAGTAGAAAATTATAGTGAATCACACCAGCCGCTGATCACCTTACAGTAACTATGATATTTTTTTGATGGGTTTTCGCCTTTGGAAATATGCCTGGGTGATTGAACGTCTTCTGTTGTAGATAATCTACTTTCCATCACACGAGACGATCCGATCTAAACAAGGATCGTTCTGATTGCGCAAAAGCAAAAAGATTAGACCTTAAAACGTGACAATTTTTTTTTTGATCGTTCAAATCGTGGGACACCACTTTTCGAGCTTTTGGGCAATCTATTTCAAACCATCAAAAACCGCATGAGAGCTGATACCCCGTTTTTACGCGATACCACGCACCGTTTGTGATGGGTCAGTCTCCACCAGGGTCCCGATCCTCGTCCTGGGTTACTGTAGGTCGACCACTTCGGGGCTCATCTTTGAGGCTAAAATTTCCAGAACGAAATTTCGCAAATCAACTTCGAACAGTGCAGTGCGTTCATTACACTGTCATTGCTGGACTGTTTCGGTAGCGCTTCTTTAGTTAGACCAGGGTTAATACGCAATGCTATTGTATCGCGTCGTGGAAAAGCCCCTTCAATTTTACTCGGATATTTCGGCGTGGCCTCCAGTGTTGCCGCCATAAAATATAATACTTAATTTTTAGACTTTTAGATACTCAACTTTGTCCATCAAACAAAGTTACAAACGAAGAAAAGATAATTGAAACTTTATATGTTTTTTACCACTTTAGAATCCATACATGCGATAAGCAGCTGTCAGAATAGTGTCAATATGTTTATTGAAAGAGAGGAATGAATCAAAGTAATTTTCTATAATGTTATTATCCAATCTGGTACTGAAGAGCCTTAAGGCAAGTGTCTTACGGCGAAATATCGATGTCTACGAGTGAGGATGACAGTATTCCATGTAAGTGCAATTTGTTACCATTCATTCAAAGTCAAACTCCTGTGAATGATATTTGATTTTATTCCATAACGAATGTTTGGAATACAAACTGAGTAAAGAAAAGTATTTTCTGGATAATTCAGTGTTCATATAAAAATATTTGTTTCGAAAGATTTTTTTTCTTTCGTGTAATTCAATGTTTATATGAAAGTAGCTGTTTTAGGAGGCCTTTCTTCCAGTTTGTGTCTGAAAGTTACTTCTTTGCATGATCTACACATCCATGTATAAAGTTACTTATTTTCAAATTGATTACTTTCTTCCTTTCTTTGGAAAATTCACACATTTTTTATATTAAGATGGAGTAGTAGAAAGCCAAAAACTTTCTTTCCCAAAAATTGTTATCGTCTTCCTGGTATTCTTGATCCGGTATATATCTTGAATACTATGATAATATGAATTCCATCGTGTTGGACATGGAGGAGTTGGGGATTTTTCAGTTGATGCTAGATAGATTTCACAGAATTTAGGAGACATTTTCCAAACTGCTTGACATTTTGTCATGGGTGCATCATACAATTTTTTGTACGAGTTACTTCGAGATCAAACGTTATCCATATCTTTGAAGGTATTAATCTAATGTGTGTGTGGCATTCCTTTTATGATTATGCAGTTGCTTTTCAAATTTTTCAAATGAAATTTGAAATTGTCATCGCATTAATATCAACACCATCTTCAATATTATCATGCATAATTACAAAATTTTAGACTTGAATCTCTTTCACTTATTCCTGTGTTTGTGGCTGCGTGTGGCAGACAGTATGCAATAATAATCATGTATTACAAATGACAGTGAGCATTAAGCGATGAGTGAATAATTGAAGCCCAACTTGGCGTTTTCATTATCCAAAAGGAACAACAAAGATATTCATTTTTTGGTTTCCAACCTGTGGACTGCAGGTTTTCGTTTGCAACTACGGCAGATTTTATTAAAGGCGATGCGGCGAAATGATCTAACTTGCTGCGATACGCAAACTGAAGTGTTCCTGACGTATTCGCTTTCACAATGAGGCTGGAAGTCAGTCGTCAGTTTGTTTTCATGCCTGTTCGGTTCAAACTATTCGGAGAAACTATGTGCTCTAAAGTCTCCGTATCCATGTTTTGATAATATTCAAGGTAGCATCCTGTAATAGATTTCTATGGTCTCCCTGTATAACCGCGGCACAGAGAAGTGAACAATTCGAAGGGACATTCGGGGACGGCGCCTTTGATCTCAGAAACCCAGTTTCGATAACTCCCGCCATTTTGTGAGGACGAAACAAAGCGTAGATATTGAAGGGCCAGGTCGAGTTCAGAGAAACAAAAATAGTTTGAGTTAAACTATCGAAATTCAATCACTGAACTTCCGATTGTTCTGTGTACCTAATCTGTGACACAGAATAGTTAATTATTTTTCTTCGGCGGTCAGAATTTTCAAAACGGTATGTGTCGTTTGTTTGCCTCAACCAATCATAACTTCGTCCTGGTGCCTTATTTTCAAATCAAGTGAACTCTCACATCGACAGGAAAATAGGGTGTTTCTCAATTTTACTTTCAAAGTAGAGAAAGAGACATTCGATTTTGAATAAAAGCTTGACTTGTATGTATGCTAACAAATCTTACAAGTTTAACTTGACCCACTTCCCGGTATCCGATTGACCTGAAATTTTGCATGCTGGTCCAGAACCGATGAAAATGCATGTTAATCATAAGCCTGATGCTGCTGCCAGGATCGGCTCCGTACGAGAGATCTCCTCAGCGGTAAATAGCAGGGACACGAAATTTTGTATACGCATTCCTTTATGATAGGCAGTTGGTAAGTCCACCATGAAATAGATGCCACATCCAGGGTTGGCTTCAATAAAAAAATATATTTCTAGAAAAAAATTAAATCAAGCTTTTACGTTTAAATACCTATTTCTCGACTCTAAAAAAAGACAATAAATTATGTAGTAGGTTGCAAGAACCCATATTTATTTGCATTGTAAAAAAATATTATTATCTACCACCCTCTAAGTTCCCAGATTAAGAGGGTCCATCACGCAATGTGAGCAACAGACACAACAGGCATACCATGACTTGTGTAATTTGGTGAGATGGGCGTCATTAGCAACCCGTCTAGGAAAAAGAAAACTCCAAAATCTAACCCGGAACGGTGTTTCGTCAGGCACGAGTAAGCTCTAAGCTGAAAAAAGTGGCGCATCTTTCACCAAATTACCACCCAAGTCAAGATGAGGCCGTGCCGAGAACCGAGTAACATCAGGGTGTAAAATGATGTCGTGAACGTACCACCTCAGGGCACCGCAGGGACCCCTGTTGTATATAAGCTCCTACCCTGCTAAACGTAGCTCTGGGAGGGTTGACAAATATTTCTTCGGTACTCGTGGGAACACTAAGGGAAATAAAGAAACATCAACACAAAGGAAAAGAAGGTTAGAGAAAAAGAAATTGAAAAGAAATGAAAAACTTGCCCATGAAAACGTTAACAAAGACCTCCTGATAGAAGAATTAGACTGATCGAAATTAACTGGGACTCGGCCATGTAATAATGACGCCATCAATGAAATGAATAGACTAAAAAATATAACAAGCTAATTTTTCTATAAGGTATGCCGGAGGAGTAGGTACCTACCTACTTCTATAGAAAATAGTTTATCCTAATAATAGTTTTTCTCTATGATACTTGCAATATAACAATATTGTTCTTCAAGGATAAAGTTGTACTTTCTATGCACTTTCTATGTACTACCTGGGCTGAAAAGTCTCGGGCCTAACACAGATGGCGCAATTTCAGTTAGTACTAAAGAAAGTTGTTGAAATTTCGTGATATTTCACTCATAAGTTTGTGAGTTATTGCTGAGAGTGACACTACTTTTGTTATTTTCAAAACAATGGATCAAACACAATTTCGTTTTTTAATTTTACATTGCTTCTTGATGGTAAAAAATGCCGTCCAAGCGAAGCAATGGCTCGAAAAGTGTTATAAGGACTCCGTTCCATCAGAAACAACAATTAAACATTGGTTTGCTGACCCCAAATGTAGTCGTACAGACACCGAAGATGCAGAACGCAGTGGACGTACAAATGAAGCAGTAACACCAGAAAACATAAAAGAATCCACAAAATCGTTATGAATGATCGAAAAGCGAAGTTGCGTGAGTAAGCTGACATTGTAAAGATATCAAAAGAACACGTTGGCTTCATACTGCATTAGCATTTAACTATGAGACTGCTCCGTTCAAAGTGGGTGCCGTGCGAGCTCACTTTTGACCGAAAACAAGAACGTCTTGATGATTCTGAGGTGTGTTTGGCCATATTTGAACATAACAAACCGG